GGAAAATCTAGACAACATGTAGTTTCGTGATTGCTTTTATGAGTTAGAGTTCGTTTATGAATCTTAAACTTTGAGGGTTTGAAATAGATTCATAAAGGGTTATTTTGGCTTTGGTTTATTCCAAAAGGATGAAAACTCTATTTTTGGTGAATTTCTAAAAATGATTATGACCTGTTGGAACCTGAAAGTTCTGTAACTTACACTTAGTTTTGGAGTTACCTAGAATAGGTATTTAGTGTTCAAAAATAGTGGTTTTTGGTGAAAGATAATTCCTATGAGTCTATGTTCATCTCCCACATATTTTGTTAGAATTGGATTTTAATTACTAGAGTTAGAGTTGTTTTAACTCATGTAGGTTGCTTGCAGAATGTTCAAAAATGCTAAACGCCTACGCTTAGTTGGAAAAGAACCCTACATGTGACATTAAAACTGAACAAGAGAGGAAGTGTTCTTGAGGCTTTCTACACTCATTTTGCACTTCTATTAAGGTAGGGATTCTCCTACTTTGGTTCATTCCTATTTAAAATGTTAAATGTATTGTGTAGGATTTCTTCTATTTGGGTCGATTCTTAATCTAGAATGCTCATATAAAATGGTTAGTCNTTAAGGTAGGGATTCTCCTACTTTGGTTCATTCCTATTTAAAATGTTATATGTATTGTGTAGGATTTCTTCTATTTGGGTCGATTCTTAATCTAGAATGCCCATATGAAATGGTTAGTGGTATAAAATGTTTTATAACTTGCCTATAGTCATGGAAATGGTGAATTAAGTATGGACAAAGTTCTAGTTAAATTTGTTATGTAGGAGTTCTGTAAATGATTCCTTGATACTTGATGATATTTGATGTGTGTGGGGGCAATATTGTATGCTTACATGATTGTTGCCTAGAAGGTGTTTGCTAAAATGCCTAAGTGTGAATTAAGGTTGTTATGACATGACAATGTATAACATGCTTATAGAATGTGTTGTTTATATATATTGACATTGTAATGATTCATGGAATTTATATGGTTATGATATGAATTACCATGGGATTATATATATGTAGTTGATCTAGCTCATTGGGCAACATTGCACATTGCGCATGACATAGCATCACATTCAAGGGCTATATGCATGAGTGTGGGTGTATGGTTTCATGGGGTGATCAACACCAACATTGGTACTTGATGGTGGGCTCGGGAAAGTGGGATAGAACGTCCTACGGAGTCACACGGTGACTTGCATAAGAAAACTTGTGTCGGGTATAACAAGTAGGGCTAAACACTCCCTCGGCTGAAAAACCCGGTCACTTGGTTCATACACTTACCGGCAGTGAAACTCCAGAAAAGTGTAACGGCGTACGGAGCCGGAGGTGCGATTCCTAAATCCGATACCGAATAAAGGCACATGATTTTGATATATAAACTATTCATTTGATGGAAAATATCCAAGAATGAATTGGTTTTATGACATATGGTTGATTTCAAAATGATCTTTGGATGTGTTTCATCAAAGACTTTTGTTTTACACGTAAGTGTCGCATTATGTTATGGGAGTCAGTGTGGGCTCGGGATAACATGTATGAGTGAGTTTCATCTCATTATTTGGAATGACATCATGATTTTCCAACATTGTATTGTATGTTATTGTTGAAGGGAATACTTGTTGTGAAATGTTGCATGTATACATTGCATATGCATTTTAGGTGATGAGTAGTCTCTGTAGGAATTATTCTACTAGGCATTGGCTCACCCTATATGGGAAACATTTCAGGTGTGGGTCATGCGCCAGTGGACGACTCACAATCAGGGTCACATGGTTGAAGAAAAGCCGACTTGTGGCTTCTAATTCATTTTTTTTGTAAAAGTAGATTTGTAATTAAATTTTGGCATATAACGTGTAAAGGAATTGTAATAGAGTCTATATGGACTGTTTTAATATAACATTGCATATTTCGATATAAATATGGTGATTGGACCCGGTGTGGTCAAGTTTTACTTATAAATGGACCCTGTGTGGTTATGATATTATATTGGACCTCGGATGAGTCATGTAAATGTTGATTGCACAGATTGTGTTTTTGGGGTAGAGCTTCCCATACAAAGGAGACTCTACCCGGATTTCGTTAAATTATGGATCCCGGTAAATGGGACACAACGGTGCGATATCGAGTTATTCAGTATCCACAGGTATTCCGTGGGTTGATGGGAAATTAACAGACTCCATGATTTTGGGGTGTCACAATTATATACTTTTAATCTTTATTATGATGTAAATAGCAAATCTATGTGTTTTAATGTTAATTCAATCCTAATATTCATTTATTAAAGAAAATACATGTTTTACGATAAAGATTATTTATTTTTTTATACAAAACACTAGTTTTTGATTCACAAATTTCAGTAATCCTTAAAGCTTCTACAATTTTATATATCTTTTGAATACTTGTTTTGATTCTTGAAGAAACACATGATTTTACATTAAATTACATGTTTTACATTCAAAAATTATATGTTCTTCATTAAACCCTAGAATTTTGAAGATTGTGAGTGTGAAGGATTTTTGTACGATCTCTTGCTTCTTTTGCTTTGATTTGTGAAATGTATAATTTTGAACTATGATATATGTGGATTTTTGTAGAAAAAGTAGTGTATTTTATTGTCTCTTCTATGAGTATTTGGATGAGCATGTTTTACACTTGAATGCATATCGTAGAGTGTTAGAGATATGTTTTTTTTACCTTGAGGGGTTTGATGGATACCTAACGCTCGTAGAGGGTTTGGTTGCTTGATGGTTGCCTAACGCTCGTATGGGTTTGGTGGTTGCCTAACGCTCATAGAGGGCCAACGTCTATTGTTCACATAGGTTTGAGGCTGAGGGTTAATATACTATGGATTCGTCAATGAAGAATGATTCGGCAGACACCATTTTCAAAGTGTGGCAACTAGTATGACCCTGTGGGGATTGATTGAGTTGGTTTGTGGTATGTGGTGGATGAATGAGATAAGTTCGGTGTGCAGATTCACGGTATTCTACGTATGTACAAAGAGATATTATGTTTTTAAGATATGATGTTTGCAAAGCTTTATATCTTATTATGAAATTACTATTTTATTCCATAAACTTGAGATCATAATAAATGTCATTGTTTTACTTCAAATATAATGTATTTATTTTGTAAATGATGACTTACCAGTTTTAATAGTTTTGAGACTTTATTTGGGTTTAACAAGGTGTTTCTACTAGGTTTTTTGCTCATCCCATGCTATATATATTTTTTAGATGTTGATTTTTTTTGACAATCTCGGATTAGATGAGACTGAGGGGGATCAATATGTAGATCTTGACTTGGAGGCCTAGAGAAGTTTCTTCTTAGTTTAAATTTGAGAGTTAAATGTAAAATAATGTTTTAAATAGTTTTTATTTATTCTACTCCGAGATGCTATTTAGTTTTTTTTTTTTCGTCAGTTTGAGAAGTTAACAAGGTTTTATTGACATTAGTGTGATTATTTACTGAGTTAATAGATTGTTTATTATTCAAATGAATTTTTTTTAGATGTTCTCATTATTGGATGGTGTGTAGATAGTTAATGCATTTTAAGATGGATTTTAGGGCATGACAATTTTTGTGAAAAGTCGAATAGTTTCTTTAAAACTCGTTTTAGATTTGATATTTTGTACATGCACCTATGCTCTTATATATTATTCCTAATAAAACGGATCCACAAAAAAAAAAATTAACACTAGAAAAATGGGTGGAGCTATGTGGGGCCAAAGTGTCTTTACCCACCATCAATTTTTTTTTAGATATTATGGATTAGTTTAGGTGAATTTTGAATACATTAGAAGTCTTTTTTTGTGACTAAAAATGTATGAAATCATTTTGTTACTGTAAAATAGATGATTATTCTGTAAAATACATTAGAAGTCTTTTTTGTAACTAAATTAAGATTATTTTGTAGTAAAATAGATGATCATTTTGTAAGCACATAAAAACTAGTATCAAAAAATAAAATGTCAAAACCCGTAGACTAAAAGAGTTACACGTACAAATATATTAACAAGTATCTTAATATGATATTATACTTGATGATGCACAAATCTGATTATACACAATCAAATCAGTCAAGTGTATGAAGTAAAATAATTAAATAAGGGACAAAGATTGGATGGTTGAGTCTGGGTAACCTAACCGCTAAAGACGACAACGGTGGTTAGATAAATTTATTAATAAAAGAATAAGGTTGCAGGTGAGAGAGAGAGAGAGAGAGCTAGGGTAAGAGTAAGCTCAAGGTGTGGCGTGTGAGAGATCCCTCCTCTGCTTAAGGAGTTTAAATTTATAGGTACAAAGTCCTAGTTGAGGTGGTGACGTGAAGGTCAACTTACTGAACTACTGGGGAGGATAGCTTCATTGGGGATAGGCACTATATTGGAGTAATGGTTATCTTGATGATTGTTCTCTCACGTGCGTTGACCTCTCTAGGCCTCTTGAATCCTGGACTGGGCTGAGACCATGAGCTGAGCTTGACCTTTTCGATGATTTGGACTCACCCCATTACCAAAGCTTAGGCCCAATTAGATTTGGTCTTGTCATTTGCCCTTATGCCCCAAGCCCTTGTGGTGACAGAAGGTTGAGGGCATGAGTGAGCTCTTCATTTTGGTGGATCGGGCACCTTGTTCCACATGGTGGCTTCCTCAGCTTTCCACCCCATTCTATTTTCAAAAATTCTTTCCTGATTTGGTAACACCATGGTTGGAAAGTTACTACACTAGCACCCAATCTCACCTATTGGGTCTTCCATTATGTCTAGAGTTACTTTATATCTTCACCACAAAGCCCCCTTTTTCATTTAGGGAATCATCCTTAGGGCTTCAAAGGTTATTATATATATATACCCTTAGTCACCTCCATTCCATCTTCTTCGCTCAAAAATCCTTCCGTGGAGACTAGAGGCTGAAGGTTTCCTTAACCTCCTCCATTCCATAAACAATCAAGAGAAGTCCAAGAAAAGTAACATGGAAGCAAGTGGGAGGACGAGGAAGGGGATTTTGAGAATTGTTCTACCAAGGGAATCCATGGAAGATGCCATGGGCATCCCTATAGCTAGGCAAGGTAGTGTCGATGGATGAGAGGGCGCAAGGGGTGGTGGTGCCAAAGATGTGGGTAATGCCCTTGGAGTAGGAGGCGACACCAGCACGATGGGCTAGCTGGGCAATGTTAGGACTGGAGGCAGAGGCGGTCTGGGTGATGCTAGAAGTGACCTGAATGATGTTCCTGTCATGATTGGAGGCAGAGGTGGTCTGGGCAACGCTAGGGAGAAGGGCGCTAGCGCTGGCAGGCGCTCTAGCGCTCACACTAGTGTAGGCGCTAGTGTAGGCGTTGCTGCTGTTGGCGCTGAGACGGGCAACGACTTCCAGAAGTTGGGTTCTGGCGGGAGGCTACTTAGAGTCGTGAGAAAGCAACAAGTAAGCATATTTAATGGCAAGGGAAGTGTCCTTGGTTTTGTCAGAGATGGAGAATATGATGCCTTTTGGCTAGGTAAAACGATTTTGCTCGCCCTTTTATTCCTTAGTTGTTTTGGAATTTTCTTGACATTGACTCTAATTGTTACAACAACTCAATTTGATAAGAATATGATGGCGAACTCTCCACAAGCTCCTTAGGGAGCCACAGGAGCTGTTGATTGTGATAGTTCAAAGGTAACTTTGATTTTCAATTCCATAGATTCTGATAGTGACATTGCTACCATTTTATCTTCATTTCATATTCCTCCTACTGTTCTATGCCACTGGGCCGAGAAAGATGAACTGGCATGTTATGATTCTTTTGGAGAGATTCTTCTATAAGGATATCCTGAATGCGAGATCAAGGTTTCTCATACCTGGGCCTATCTTTTAAGTTCTGGGTCACTTGTCTCTTACCCCCAGGAGGTTGACCCTAAATGGCTGAAGGATACTTTTGGCATTCTTTTCACTATGGCGGCTAGTTTATGCCGAGGATGTTTCTCTCCCTTTTGTGGTGTTCTTGGTGGCGTACATGTTTTTTTGTATAATCCTAGTCCTTATCAAGGATGGTACTGCTTTGCTCCGAGGTCGGGTAAGCTGATCATTGGATTGCCCTCTAATTTTCGTTGCTAGAAGTCCAGGTTTTTCTTCATAGGAGGTGAGTGAGCTGTCGAGGAGGATCGTGACTTAGTGCCTTCGAGATGGGATAATGCTCCGAGGACCAAGCTAGGTAGGAGTTTTACCCTTGCTTTCATGCCTGACTACCATGCCTCTTGTATTCATTACATGTTTGGCATCTTTGCAGCTTCACCCCCATTATCGACAGAGTAGGAGAGTAGGCTTCAAGCTATGAGGGATCATCCTACCATGCACTTTGTGACCTTTATGTCTACGTCAGGTCACTCTAGAACTTTCCATACACATAAGAGGAAAGGAATTTGATCCTTTCGATAAATTTGATGACGCCTGTAAATTCTCCTTCTTATGAAAGTTCTGCGGGTACTACTATTGATAGAGCGATGGTGGAGGCTCTTTATGCATCTAGGGTGATGTCTTCCCCTCCTCCCAATAGGGCGAAGGCTAATTCCCCCAATACTTCTTGGTTGTGGTCTGATGGCCATATTGCTTCATGGGAGGTGGGATCCAGTGGTGCCCCCACTCCTCAGCATGTGGCCCTTTTGAGTGTTACGGTTAGCCCTATCACTACTTTAGGGACTGAGACACCGGTGCAGTCCACTATAGGGACCCAAGCTCCACATAGCTATCATGCTTCGAGCAACAGCTCGGTGTCTATGTTACAAGATGTGAATCTAGCCAAGGAGCGACTTTGGAACTTTGTGATGGCTGCGAATATTAGAGAGGTCAACTCTCGAAGTCTAGAGGTCATTATCAATACCACGATGGAGGGATTTGTTATGGTATCCTTTCTTTTTGTTTATTCTTGATTTCTGCATTTCTCCTTTTTTTATATGTTTTGCCTTTTAAATTTTTGTAGGTGGCCACTGGTTTCCCATGCCTTTTTTCGAGGACCATCAAGCTTGGTGAGGCATCAAAGGCTCTAGCAAAAGAGAGACAAGCTTGAAAAGCTATTGAGGAGCAATTGAGGTTGGCTAATGAGAAAGTTACACCTATTGAGGCCGAGCTTTCGGCATCCTACGAGAGGGCCACCAAGCTGGAGGCTGACAGGGAGACTACCTGCACTAGAGCATAGATAGAGCTATGAGCAGCTTGTGAGAGGGTCATAGGAGCTGAGGTAGAGCTACAAATAACTTCAAAGAGGGCTGACATGGCAGAGGCAGGCCTGCAATTAGCTCATTAGAGAGCCACCAAGGCAGAGGCTCATTCCATTAAGATAGAGAGGAGGAGGGAGGTTGGTGACAGGGCTGTTGAAGACATTTTTATTGACGGTTTTGAGGAGTTTAGGGGAACGCTCGTAGCAACTTTCCCTGATATTGATTTCTCTAGTGTAGTCCCATATGAGGCCCCAGAGACAAATGCTGATAAAAGAGTTTTGATGAGAATGGATCGGGGAACAGTGAGCGACCATGAGGAGTATGATGACTTTTATCTTTACTTGTATGTCTTATTGTTGTTAGGTCATGTTCTAACTTTTGTAAGTTGTTTACAAACTTCTATGGAATGAAAGAAAGAGCGTTCCAAATAAAATAATCTTTGCAAAGTTTTATTTCATAACTAAAATAATAGATAAACAAAATGAACAAATTAACTGAACAAACAAATGACAAGTAAAATGAGAGTCGCCAGCTTGTACCCCGCTATTGATAATACCTCTTCAGGTGTTCGGCGTTCCATGGATGGGCCAAGGCTTTCCCTTTAGAGTTCTGAATTTTATAGGTGTTTGGTCTTACAACTTCTGTCACGATGTAAGGTCCTTCCCAATTAGGGTCTACCTTTCCTTCTCGAGAGTCCTTGGTAAACAGGATTACTTTCTTGAGGACTAGGTCCCTAAGCAAGAAGGCGTGATGCTTCACCCTCGAATTGTAGTACTTGATCATGCGGTGCTTGTACTCCACATTTTTTAGCATAGTCATTTTCCTTTTATCCTCTACCAAGTCGAGGTTGATGCAAAGGCCTTCTTCATTAATGGTTGGGTTGTGGTGTTAGACCCTCAAGGAATGTACCCCAATCTCGACTAGTATAACCACCTCTATTCCATAGGCTAAGAAGAAAGGGGTTTCACCCTTAGGGCTCCTTGGAATTGTCCAGTAGAACCATAGTACTCCTGGGAGTTCGTCCAACCACCGCCCTTTGGAGCTTTCCAGCTTAGTCTTCAGGTTGTGAGGATTATTCTAATGGTGAACTCTGCCTACCCATTCGTCTGGGGATGGGCTGGGTTGGAGTGGGGTTGTTTTATCTATAGGTCTGCATACAAGCCATTAAGGAGTTTGTTGACAAACTGCTCAGCATTGTCACATACTATTGCATGAGGTAATCGAAAATGACATACTATGCTCTTCCAGATGAAGCCTTTCACTTTCTGGTATGTTATTTTGGCCAAGAACTAAACTTTTGCCCACTTTGTAAAGTAGTAAATGAATACTACGACAAATTTTTATTAGCCCTGAATTGTGGTAGAGGGCCTATGCTATCAATCCCCTATTTGGAGAAGGGCCAAGGGTTCATGATGGTAGCCAAATTTTTCGACTGTTGCCTTGGCATTGACGCGAAATGTTGGCATTTGTCATACCTTTTTACAAATTCCTGGGCATCTTTTATCAGGTTTGGCCAATAGCAGCCTTGCCTAACTGCCTTGTGAGCTAGTGCGCATCCTCCGAAGTGGTTTCTACATATTTTCTCATGGATTTCTCTCATATCATAATTGGACATTTTCGGGGAGAGGCAACAGAGTAGGGGCAGTGAGTAGCTTCTCTTATAAAGGGTGTTGCACAAGATGATGTACCTGGACGCCCTTAATCTCAATTTATTGGCTTCCACTGAATTTTCTGGGAGAGTGTCTTCTTCTAGATAGGCTCGAATGAGTGTCATCTATTTGGCATCAGAGGATGCACTGTTGATGTTGTCCTTATATGGATTGAGCCAACTTGGCTCAAATTGGTGACTTGTGAGTGTAGGGCCTATTAGTATGTTTGCAGATATGAACTTGACAAGCGCATTTGCCATAGCATTATCCTCCCTAGGCACATGTTGAATCTAAAAGTGGTTGAAATTTTTTGGCAAAGTTTGTACCACTAACAGGTACACTTGCATCCTTTCCTCCAAAGTCTCCCTTTACTTGATTGACTATCAGTTGAAAATCTCTATAATTGTGAGACAGAAGGCCTCCATTTCAATGATGAGTTTCAAGCTTTAGATGAGGGTCTTGTATTCTATTTGATTGTTTCATGTCGCAAAATGGGGAGATACGACATACTTAAACAGGGTGCCATGGGGATTGATAAGTACCAGCCCTGCTCCACCGCCCTCACTAGTAGAAAATCCATCTCTATATAGCTTCCAACAAGCTACTGCATCTGTGAGTGTACTAGATTTGACAGTTGGAGACACCCACTTAGGCATGGGAGTGTAGTAAAGCAAGATTACGATAGGCTGAGGTACTGTCGACGAGGGTGCTAACGATACTAGAGAAGTAGACGCAAGGGAACTAGATGCCTTAGGCCTGGTAACCTAGGCGCTAGGGGCCTAGGGCATTGGCTTCAAGGCACCAAGCTCTTTAAGGATGGTGCCTCACCTTACTGCGTAGGGAGTCGAGGCACTGTGTATTGGGCAGGTGACTGCAAGGACTCAAGTCACTTTTTCCTGGGAATCTCCCTTCTCTAGTGGTGTCAATTCGGCTACAAACTCTACAACTGCTTGCGCCTTTATGGTTGCCCTCGATTGGTACTACATGTCGAACTCACTTAACTCGATGGCCCATTTCAGGAGTCACCCAGACAAGTCTAGCTTTCCCAAGATTCCTCCTAGTGGTTGATATGTGATAACCACGATGCTGTGCTTCAAAAATTAGTGGAGTTGGCGTCTGGCTACAGTGACTAGAGTGAAGGTTAGCTTCACTAACTCAGAGTACCTTACTTGAGATCCTCGTTAGGCCCTGCTTACATAATAAATGGGCCTTTGAAATCCTCTGTCCTTCTTGACTAGGATAAAACCCACAGTGAAGGACGAAGCAGAGATAAAGATACAAGGTCTCTCCAGGTATGACATAAGAGAGTAAAGGGTTGTAACAAGATAGGCCTTTAACTTTTGCAAGGATTTTTCCACATCCGGTCCCCATTGAAAAGACTTTTGAATAATTTTAAAGAAAGTTAAACACTTATCTCCTGAATTTGAAATGAACCTGATATGGGCTGATATCCTTCCATTAAAGCACTTGACCTCCTTCACAAAAGCTAGGGATCTCATCAGCAGGATAGCCTTGATCTTGTCTGGATTAGCTTCAATGCCCCTTTTATTGACCATGAAGCCTAGGAACTTTCCCTTAGCTAACGTTGAAGGCACACTTTTCAGGATTTAGCTTCATTCAGTAAGTTCTCAGGATGTCAAAAGTCTCTTGCAGGTGCGCTACATGGTTTTTTGTAGCCAAGCTCTTCACCTGCATATCATCCACATAGACCTCTATGTTCTCTTCGATTTGTGCCTTGAACATCTTGTTCACGAGGCGCTAGTATATGGCTCCAACA